AATGAAATACCTGACAAAGGCAACTTGAAGCAAGGGTTTATTTTGATTTAAGGTTGTGGGTACAGTCCCTGATGCTGGAAGTCAGGGGCGCAGGAACGTGAGGCAGCTGGTCACATGGCTTCTGCAGTCGACGAGAAATAGGGAGAAGCCGGTGCTGGGGCTCACCTCTCTTGCTTGCTGGGACCCCAGGGATGATCCTGTTCCCACCTGCCTAGGCTGGGGTTGTAAGCTGAGCTGCTGAACCTGGCTTTTAATGTGCTTTCTAGGGATCAACTCCTCAAGTTTACAGCAAACTCTTTACCAGCTGTCTCCCCGCCTTCTTTCCCAAGAAAGAAGTCTTGTCGGTCTTCGGTAGTGAATAGCAGTGGTGGTCTCAGGTCAGCCTAGAATTAGTGTCTTTGCAGAGAAATGTTCTAGGAAGTAACCGCAGAAACCATTAAAATGAACATTTGGGGCCAGTGAGATAGTCTGGTGGACAAAGGTGCTTGCTGCCGAGCCTTAGGACCTCAGTTTGACCCCTGCGACCCACACAGTAGAAGGAGAAAACCACCTCCCTCTAGTTTCCCTGTGATCATCATATTCGTGTTGTGCTACATGTGTGCGCGCCCTCCGCCAGTACACACAAAATAAATGAAATGAGTTGTTTTGTTTTTTTTTTTTTTAAAGAAAATTTTTGTATTGATATTTAGAGTTTGATGTTCTTGGATGCTCTAGGGTTTTTAGCTTTACTCCTTTTGCTCTTAAAGTCCCCAAAAGTTTTTATGTCACATGACTCCTGTTTTAGGGTTTCTATTGCTGTGATGAGACGCCATGACCGTGGCAACTCTTACAAAGGAAAAACATTTAATGGGGGTAGGTTGTGTTTTTTCAGAGGTTTAGTCCATTATTGCGGTGTGACATGGTGGCTTGCATGCAAGCATAGTTCTGGAGAAGTAGTTGAGTGTCCTCCGTCTTGGCTTGCAGGCAACGTTAGGTATTTCTCTTAGACAAGCCTCCCTGCGACGCAAATAATTCCAATTAGACTGCCCATGTTTAATGCAGTGCTCCCGGGTTGCCCCGGGAAAGCATGGAGAGGGCAAGAGAGAGAGGGAAGGGGAAACCACACAAAACCCAGAGTCTACCTGTTCATTCTCAGGGGGCAGTTTAAATAGCCTGTGGGAGTGGTCTTGACCTTCCCTGGGGAGGGGTTACCGTTTGGTGGGCTTCTTGACTCTCCCTGGGGAAGGGTCTTATGCCAGGAGCTGGGATGAAGCCCTCAGGCAAACAATCCAGACTTTTTGTATAAAGGGGTGTTAGGGAGCTGGGGTGATGCTTCTAACCAAACAGGCAACAGGAAGTGGTCAGAGACACTGGGTGTGGTTTGAGCATGTATGAGACCTCAAAGCCCCACCTCCACAGTGGCACACTTCCTCCATCAATATCACTCCTAAGGCCATACCTTCTAAATGCCACTCCCTTTGGGGACCATTTTTCCTCAAACAACCACATCCCACTCACTGACCCCCCCCAGAGGCTTTTAGACACATCATAATGTAAAAAAAATGCATTCAGTCCAACTTCAAAAGTCCCCATAGTCTATAACAGTCTCAAACTTAAAGTCCAAAGTCTCTTGAGATTCATGCAATCTCTTAATTGTAATCCCCTATAAAATCAAAATTTAAAAAACCAGATCACATACTTCCAATATATAATGACACAGGATATACATTACTGTTCCAAAATGTAGGGAAGGGACAGTAGTGAGGAAGTCCTGGACCAAAACAAGGCCAAAAAGCAGCCATGCAAACTCCAGACTCTGCACCTCTATGACTGATGTCAAAATTCTCTTCAGGAAAATGTTGATGTTCTTGGAACTGGTGTTGCTCTGAGAAATATTTTTTTTTAAAGCGCTCTTCAGATATCCAACTCCTTTCAGCTTTGTTGACTGCAACACACTTCTTTTGTTATGCCTAAATTGCAGGGTCCCCCAAAACCCACCACAGAGTCTGAACTCCTATGCAAAAGCAAGAGCCTAAAGGCTTGAGCTTGGACCCTCCATATGTCCAACACAGTGCTGTGATTGAAAGCCCTGAGCCCAGCTGGGGAAGGATTTTTATCATATCAGAGGTTGGGGTGAGAGTATTTCTAAGGTTCAGGACCCTTGACTTGCTGACATTTGTCTAGGGGTGTTTTGGTAAAAGATGGTGGGTGTTACTAGGCCAAGGAACATCTGGTGATCCTATCTACAAAGGTTAGAACATTAGGTATTTCCTTTGGAACGTTGAGCATTTTCCCCTTGGATACTGATTGGTCCGTTCCTGGGTGGTACCTGGGTGGTCTCTGTGGTCTTTGCCTTAGGGTAAACTGAAACATAGGCCTATTCTTTGACTGGCTTTTATTGAGCCTGTCATGACACCAGTATAACCAAGCCACCCTGGGCCCCACACTTTCTCTTTGGCTGGTTCCATTCCCTGTGAGCAACTTTCCTCAGCAGGTATCCTACAACTCTGGCATCTCCAGCCTTCAACTTCACAACTTCACGAAATGGCCTCTCTAGTCTTCCATTCGGGGACGCCTCTGACACATACCTGACCTAAGCAGCTTTCCTTAGTTATGGAGAAAAATTTCAAATCACCACATTTTTCTATTCGTTTGTTTTGTTTTTTAAGTTTTATTGTTTTATCTGTCTTGCATTTATAGCCCTGGTGGGCCTAAAACTCACTGTGTAGACAAGGCTGGCCTTGAACTCACAAAGATCCACCTGCTTCTGCCTCCTGAGTGCTGGGTTTAAAGGCATTGTGAAACCATGCCCAGTACTTAAATCTATTGCTAATTGCTATTAATAAGGAAGCTGATGGGTTTAATTACTAGACCTTCATTTACTTTAAAAATGAAAATATTGGGGGGCTGACAAGATGGCTCAGCAGTTAAGAGCTCTGATTGCTCTTTCAGAGGACCCTGGTTTGGTTCTCAGCACCTACATGGCAGCTCACACTTGTCTGTGATTCTAGTTCCAGGGGTCTGACACCCTCACACAGACATATATACAGGCAAAACACCAATGCATATAAAATAATAAATTAAAAAAAGAAATATTGGTTCATTGCTTATTAATGTAAATAGTACAATAATATAATTATTTTCTAAAGGTAGAAGTCAGTTAAATGAATATTGTTATTAGTTTTGTTTTTGCAGAACTTTTATTTCTGTGTTTGTGTGTGTTTGCCCACATGTATGTCTGTGCTCCATGTGTGTGCAGTGCCCTTTGGAGACCTGAAGTCTCCAGAAGTGTCGTGTCTCCTTGAACTAGAGTTACAGAGAGTCGTGAGCAGCTCGATGTGGATACTGGGAGCTCAGCCCAGGTCCTCTGCAAGAGCAACCAGTGCTCTTAACTGCTGAGCCATCTTTCCAGCCCTGGCATTATTTTATAGTTGTATAAATCCCTTTACTTTGCTTAGCAGGAGCATGTATAGAGGTTCATTGCTTCTGCAGTGATTGGCAATACTTACCAGTTTGTAGCTTTCAGAAAACTATACACTCAAGAGAAGAGAAAATTAAAATGGCAAATGGTGATTATTTTGAAAGTGATTACTACTCTGAGGATGTACTGCCATCCGCAGTCTGAATGCTGCTGTCCACGGGAGTGGAAATCCTTGTGACTGACAGAAACCAAGTGTGGCTGTGCCTCCTCCCAGTGTTCTGAAAGTAAACCCTTTTGAGAGTAATTTCTATAGCTCTGAACCTCTAAAGGCCAGTAAACTGTCTACAGAAAACCAAAGCTGGCAACTTTCTGCAACCTTTTGCCCTTTCTGATCTAATGGAGAATCAATCTGACCCCCGCTTTTTCATAATTTTCTTTCTAATTTCTGTCTCTGTGACGGCATTTTTAACTGGAGTCGCAGGAAAGAAGTTAGACCATCTCCTCGGCTCCCTGTCTTTGTGCCTTGGAAGGCTTAGCTGAGGGAAGGGGCACTTCGTTCTCCCTGATGTCTGGACTCCTTCAGCATGCAGGACTGTGGACACTGGGGATGGCTCCGTGGCAGCCTGCTTAGTAGAGGGAAGAAGAATCGACTCTGGAAACATCAACACTTCAAGATTTATCTCCCCTTTGGAAATGCATGAGCCTGTAAACAGCCTTTGTGCTTCTCTGAGGCCTTGTGTTCCCACACAGTTATCTGTCCTGCCTTCACCCGAGCAAACCCAAGGAGCGGGTCTGTTGTGTGGTGCCCTGGAGTCTTTGGGTTCTCCTTTCCTCTTTAAAGCCCAGTGGAGGGTCCTCTGTTGAGACTCCTTTTCAGTTCATCCTGAGGTATTGCAGCTTAGTCTGAAATGTCCTATAATATTCTTCCTGTTTCCTCACGTCCTGTGAACACAGGCTACCATTCTTTCCCTCTGTGCTTGTGTTATGTTGCCTCTCTTGCCTCAAATCATATATTCTGCACTTTCTTTGGAATCCAATGGATTCTTCGAAAGTCAATTCACAGAAGTTGTTTTTTACCTGCATATTTTGTCTTTATTACAGTTGAAAAACTATTATTAAGTGTGTGTGTCTGTGCACGCTCATACACACATGCACTTACGCTAGAACTAGAGTCGCAAGCAACTGTAAGTTTACTGGTGTGGGTCCTGAGAATTGAACTCAAGTCCTCTGCAAGAGTAATACTTGCTCTTAACTTCTGAGCCATCTCTCCAACCTTAGTTTGTTCTTATTTCCCCTTTCCTTTGCTCTCCAGTAGAATTTGGCTTGTACTCTACTGTTGGATATATAATTACATAACTATTTTGAATAATTATTTTTCCTTTTCTTTAATAGATGATGTTTAAGAATTTTAAACTTTAGGAAAGAAAGGCTCACCAAGTTGTGACCTCCTTCCTTTTCAAATGATTCCTGAAATCGTCTTTGTACTATGTAAATTACATTGACCGAAGCAGGAGTTCAGATCTGATAAAATGCGCTGCATAATGCTTTTTCTGAATGTGCCGCTGTGTGCTTATTCTAACTTTGTCCAATTTTGTCACAGCTATTTCTGCGTTTGAAGTCCATCCAGTTTCTACAGAAGTCTACGAAGGGGGAGTTGCTAGATTTTCTTGCAAGATTTCATCAAACCCCCCTGCAGTCATTACGTGGGAGTTTAATAGGACAGCCCTGCCTATAACCATGGACAGGTAAATATAGCATGTTCATTTGGATGTGCACATACATGATGAAGATTTTACACGAAGCTTCCGAGGGGGAATGTGGTGGAGTTCCTTTTCGTTTTAGGGGTTGGCAATAATGGATTTCCGTAGACATTCTCAAACCCAGATTAAGAATCCCATCATCGGGACTGGAGAGCTAGATCGGTGGCTAAAAGCACTCGCTGCTCTTGCAGAGGTTTGGTTCCCAGCACTCACACTGGAGTGTAAGTCTAGTTCTAGGAGAGTCAGTACTTCTGCTCCCTTCCGAGCGGCGCAGGCATGTGGTGTGTGAACATATGTCTGCTCCAAAGTATACAAAAATCATTTGCTAAAATGACAGAATACTGGAATGGGGGGAAGTTGTGAGGTGTTTTATTGAAGGAAGAGAAAAAACTCTGATTCAAGAATATCTTAGACCGGATGTTGGTGGCGGCAGCCCACGCCTTTAATCCCACCACTCAGACAGAGGGAGATGGATCTCTGAGTTTAAGGCCAGTCTGGTCTACAGATTGAGTTCTAGGACAGCCAGGGCTACACAGGGAAACCCTGTCTCAAAAAACAAATAAATAAACCCAAACTGACCAACAAATAAAAGACTATCTTAAAACTATTTTTGTTTGTTTTTGTTTTTAGAGATTTTTTTTTTGAGACAGGGTTTCTTTGTATAGCCCAGACTGGCCTGCACACTTTTAATCCTAGCACTTAAGAGGCAGACAGGTGAATTGCTGTGAGTTCAAGGCCAGCCTGGTCTATAGGATGAGTTTCAGGACAGCCCGAACTGTTACACAGAGAAACTCTGTCTCAAACAAATAAATAATAACAACAACAAATGCTAAAATGTATTTTGGCTTTGGATTAAGATAGAATTCTAACAATTTGAGTTGGCCCTGAACATACTTCTGCTGTTTTGCAGTCTATTTATTTGAGGCAGTGTTCTTGGTATTGAGAAATATAGTGGGGCTAGAGAGATGGGTCTGTGGTTAAGAGCACTGGCTGCTCTTCCAGAGGGTCATGGGTCAAGTTCTGACACCCACATGGTGTCCCACGACTGTCTGTAGCTTCAGTTCCAGGGGATGGCGCCCCCTCTGGCTTCTGCTGGTACTGCACACAAGTGGTGCACAGATATACAGGCAAGCAAAAACACTAATACACATAAAATATTTTTAAAAAACTGATGGATTGAAAAAACATTGTGTCTTATTGAACTTAAGTGATTAAGTCAAATAGCACTAATTTTAAGATTAAGCACCCAAACCTAACCCTGTGCAATCCAGATATACTAATTTGATACTTACATGCTGTGAAATTACTAAAAGTATTCGTTTTCCATAATTAGGCCATTATGTTTCATTAAGGGCAGAAAACCTTTTATATTCAGTAAAAACCTTGCATTTCCTGGCACATAGCAGCCTTCAGTCTGAGCCTGGCTGTTTCAGATGGCATTCATTGGTGCTGTGTGGTGTAGCAGCGTTCACTGTGTGCAGTGCCAATGGACTGTGTTCAGCATTGAGGTGACATGCTGCAGCATGGGCCAGCTCACCAGAAACAGCTCAGATTATTTGCATATTTCATATTGAATTGATTTTTATTGTTGCACATATCAATACCTTTTACCATTGCCACATTCAATTTTTGTGATTTTTATATGGCGTTGTGACCCTGTTTTAGAAACTTGGTTGTGCAGAATAAATAGCTGTTGTGGTTTTTGTTGTTGTTGTTGTTTTGTTTTGTTTTGTTTTTAAGATCAGGATTTTGAAAATAAATCATACTAAGGTCTGAGCCATTATCAGCTAAATCAACATAAGAATGTTAGCAGGCCCTCTTTGTAAAAAACGGGAGTGCTGGATTTTACAGACTGTCCTGAAGAATTAGTTACATCTCAGAGACCTGTCATGACCCAGATGAAATAATAGAGTCAAGCTAATGTTCTTTACCGGTGTTGGTTTTCACCTTGGGAATCATATCCAGGGCCTCCTGGGTGCCAGACCGAGTCTCTGTCACACCCCAGCCGAGGCTAATATGTTAAAAGATCTTTGCAGTGTGGTTTCTACCAAGATTAAAAGGTTGAATTGTTAATTCTGCCAGCAGATATGTTTAGTAAAAATGAAGATCTACAGAAAGTTCAGTTCCACTTCTTGTCTCAACAGGGTGACTGCCCTGCCGTCAGGAGTATTGCAGATCTATGATGCTGGCCCGGAGGATGCTGGGAATTACCGCTGTGTTGCCGCGACTATAGCTCATAAACGTAAAAGCATGGAGGCCTCTCTAACCATAATTCCAGGTACCGTGGTTTTTGTTTGTTTTTTTCCCATCCTTTGGGATTTTTGTTTGCCCCATCTGTTTTCCTCTTGACTGTAATGACATTCTGTCCATCAGAATTTTGATGGCGTTTAAATGCTTGTAATAGAGTTGGTTTGGGTTTGATGTTTTCAGATAGAGACTTTCTTTGTGCCCCATCCTAGCCTTGAACTTGTAACCCTTCTACTTCTGCCTCCCCCAGGGCTGGGATTACAGGTGTGTGCCACCATGCCTGGATTGTAATCTGTTTAGAACATAGTGTTTTACTAAGTACACCTTTCCCAGGTATATGTGTCTTCTGTGTCAACCTCCTTGAGAAACACTGAATGGTTACTTTATACATTTTTCACTTTTGTTTTTAGAAGCATAAAATACAGACAGGGCAAAAAGAGAATATCCATTGCCAACAAAGATGTTTGTTTCTAATATTGATATTCTTCAGCTTAAGCAGTAACTGCTAATGGGTATTCATTTTGGGGTGTCATGTGACAGACTTTTCCTGGGGAGACACATGCACCCTAGTTAGGGATCCCACTACAGACCAAAGTACAGATACCACCAAAGTCCCACTTACTAAACCAATGTGTTTTATTGGGATTACTTACAGGATTATGGGTGAGGGGTTACTTATAGGAGCAGAAATGATTCAAAGACGGCTGCATCACTGAAGCCTACCCCAGAATGGGTGACAGCTCACAGAACTGGGAACCTGGAGCACACTGAGCCTGCAAACAGATCAGCAGGCTGGAGAGTGGCCTTTCCAATCGCCTCCTTGGTTTGTGTGTCTTCCAGGCAGCCCACTATCTCTGCTTCTACCAGACTTGTCTGCTTTGTACCTTGGTTCCTCTGAGAGTGACTCTCAGCAGCCTTCTCTGTACTCTTGGGGTCTGAGGGGATGTAGTGATTCTGCTCAGTTTCAGGGACTTCTTGACTGACATTCTGTGGTAATGAACTTCCCTGCAGGATGGATGGAATGTTTCAATCTGTGAGGAAATTACCACACAACGGGGGTGGGGGAGATAATGAACACATTCTAGAATTAATTGTAATAGTTACTTTGCTGAACAGTCTGAAAACCATTGAGTTAGACATCAGATGGGTGAATTGTGTACCCTAAGAGTTAGACCTCAATAGCACTTTAAAAAAAAAATCTTATTTAAGAAAAAGAAAGGAGGGGCTGGAGAGATGGCTCAGAGGTTAAAAGCACTGGCTCCTCTTTCAGAGGATCCGGGTTCAATTCCCAGCACCCACATGGCAGCTCACAACTGTCTGAGACTCCAGTCCCGGGGAATCTGACACCTTTACACCAACGCATATGAAATAAAGTTAAATAAATTATTTTAAAAAAAGAGAGAGAAAGAAAGGAAGAAAAAGTGAGGGGCTGAGGAGATGGGTTCATAAGAACATTTGTTCTATAACTGTGAGACCCTGAGTTCCTGTCCCAGCACCCACATAAAAGCTGTGTGCCCATAACCCCAGTGTTGCCAGCCTAGAGACAGGAAGATTATGGTAGCCTGCTGACTGCCAGCCTAACACTAGGTTCATAGAGAGACTCTGCTTCACAGAAATAAAGGTGAGAGTTGACCAAACGGGGCAACCAACGTTCTCCTCTGGCCTCCATACCTGTACACACACACACACACATATACACACACACATACATACACCACGCACAAACACAGACATGCACACACACACACACACACACACACACACACCATGCACAAAGGAAGGAAGACAGGAAGGCACTGAGAGGTGGAGGAAATAAATAGGAGGCAAAGGTATGCTGGGTTGGGCGGCACTCACCTGTAATCTCAACATTCACCGGGTAGAGAGCAGGAGTCGAAGGTTACCCTTCAGTGCATAGGGAATTGGAGGCTGTCTCAAAACAAACAAACAAAAAAAAAAAAAAGAGAAAGAAAAGAAAAAAGAAAAAAAGAAAAAAAATTTAAAAAAATGAGTAAGAATGGGCTTTTTAATGTTTCTTAACCATTTATGTATTCTGTGTTTTCCTGCCCAAAGCTAATGAATCGAGAACCTTCTACATGCCGACCATTGTAGCCGGACCGCAGAATGTGACTGTGTCGTTACATCAGACAGCCGTTCTAGAGTGTATGGCCACAGGATATCCTAAACCCATTATTTCCTGGAGCCGGCTCGGTAAGTTGTCCTCCTCATGGGTGGAGCAGGGGAAGGCAAGGGAGTGCTTCTCTTGAACTTTATTCCGTGTTCTCTTTGAAACAGATCACAAGTCCATTGATGTCTTTAACACTCGGGTCCTTGGAAATGGCAACCTCATAATATCTGATGTCAAGCAGCAGCACACTGGAGTGTATGTTTGCCGGGCCACCACCCCTGGCACGCGCAACTTCACAGTTGCTATGGCAACTTTAACTGTATTAGGTATGCATTCTTTCTATAATCAGGAGAAGCTTATGCTTTAATATTTGCCATTTTAATTTCTTTCATGGTGTTCTTTTATAAGGTTTTGTTTTTACTTATGTGGATGTCTGTGTATAGGTATATGCATATGAGTGCAGTGCCCAAAAATGTCAGAAGAGGGCACCATATTCTCTGGAGCTGGAGTTACAGGAGGTTGTGAGCTGCCCACTGTGGGTGCTGGGGACTGAACTCGGGTTCTCTGTAAGAGCAGCAACTGCTCTTAACCACTGAGGCTTCCTCCAAACTTGCATAGCTTTCTTTTAACTCCAAGTTTGGCAGCAGTGATAGGAAGGTTGATGATAAGTGTTGTAAAAGCCAACGGTGAATTTTAGGGGGAAAAATTAAATTTCTGTGTTAAAATATAGCTCTAGAATCATGTTGTGAAGCCACCATGTGTATGTGCGTAGCTTCATGCTCCTTATTTAGGCCTCCCTACGCCTTCTCATCCATCCACATCTGCACACACTTAACCCTCTAAACTCAAGCTCCTGGTGCCTGTGTGCACAAGTGTCCCCTCATTGGGCTTAGTTAAGATGGGTTGTAGGTAGTGTCAGTGTATTCACGGGTGGTCTCAATGGAGGAAAGTAGGTGTCGAATATTAGAGAGTAGCACTGTCCTAGAAATGTTTCTATTGCTGGACACCCCTACCCTACAAGAACCATTTAGAGGCGAAAGGGTAAATTTTAGCTTGCAGTCCTTCCATATTACAGCCCATCCCTGTGGGGAAGTGAAGTCAAAGGAGCTTGGCTGTTCACGTCACATCCACATTCAGGAGGAGAGTGAAATGTTTGCATGCTCTCTCGCTTGTCTTCAGCCTGATTTCCTGACCCCATAGGGGTCAGGATTCCCTGCCTAGGGAATGGTGCCGCCTACAGTGGACTGTTCTTCCCATACCAGTAAGATAGTCCTCTAAAGCCACACCCACAGGCCAATGTAAACAGTCCTTCCCCGAGACTCGGTTCCAGGGTGATTCTGGGTTGTATCAAGTTGACAGGGAAAGCTACCGTCGTAGATACCTAGCTAGGTGTAGCAGCTTCAGACTCTCAGACATGTTCCCACGTGGGGCGCGTCTCGTTTTTGTAGTCTTCTTTCATTCTTTCTTGTTGTTCCTGTGGAAGCTGTGGAATATGTGTCTGTTTTTTTCCTTTTAAAATAGCGCCTCCCTCATTTGTTGAATGGCCTGAAAGTTTAACAAGACCGCGAGCCGGCACCGCACGGTTTGTGTGTCAGGCAGAGGGGACGCCCTCACCCAAAATGTCCTGGTTGAAAAATGGGAGACGGATACATTCTAACGGCAGAATTAAAATGTACAACAGGTAAGCTATGCTACTTTTAAATAAAATAATGTCTTTGTTAGTTTTTACATGAAATGGCGATCATAACATCTGATCACCACATAATCTTGTCAGCTCACACTAACTGTACGAAATTAAAGTTAATGGCATTACTGTGCCATCTATCATTTTTGTTTTATGCCTGGGTCCAAAGTGATGTGTTATAACGGAGCATATGCCAGGCAGTCCCCCAGACGGCTGCTCTAGCCCTGGTACGTCACCAGCTAAGTGACCACAGCAAACACAGACTCTAGTATCTTAGTTCCTTCCCCCATCAAGTGAAAAAAAAAAAAAAAAGAATGAAGTAAGTTCCTTTTAATAATCCCTCTACAATTCAAACTTAATGACTTTAAGAATGAAACTTGTCTGGTCATGGTGGTGCATTCCTTTAGTCCCAGCACTTCAGAGACAGAGGCAAGCAGAGCTCTGTGAATTTGAGGCCAGCCTGGTCTACATAGAGAATTACAGGATAGCCAGGGCTACATACTGAGAACCATTTTTTTCTTTTTTTTTTTTTAAAATTTTATGATTTATTTGTCTTTTATTTTATGTGCATTGATGTGAAGGTGTCAGGTCCCCTGGAACTGGATTTTCAGACAGTTGTGAGCTGCCATGTGGGTGCTGGGAATTGAACCTGGATCCTCTGGAAGAGCAGTCAGTGCTCTTAACCACTGAGCCATTTCTTTAGCCCCCATCTTTTTTTTTTTTTTTTAATTTATGTGTAGTAGTACTTTCTCATCGGGTCCGCCAGCCACAAATAGTGACATGGAGACTTATTAAGTAGGAAAGCTTGGCCTTAGCTTAGGCTTGTTTCTAGCTAGTTCATATACCTTAAATTTACATATAGTTTTTAATCTACATTCTTTCACGTGACTCGTTACCTCTTCTCCCTACTGCCTATCCTCCTTCCTCTGCATCTGGCTGACAACTCTGCCTTTCTTCTTTCCAGAGTTCTCTCTCTGTCTGGAAGTCCTGCCTAGCTATTGATCGGTCAGCTTTTTATTACACCAATCACAGCAACGCATCTTCACACAGTATACAAATATCCCACAACACACACACACACAAACACACACACACACATACACACACACACACACACACATGATTTTTATTCTTATAACACTCTCATCTAGTTGAACAAAACTTTATTTTTTTTGTTGGTCTGAACTTTATGTGTGCATTGCGATATGAGTTGAGTATTGACAATAGAATAGAGTAATATGCTTTCTTACTAAACACCATTTAACAAAAAAAGTGATTAAAGCAAAGAGAATTTGGCTGCCATAAATACTGATGAAGACTGAGAATACAAATCAGAATAATTTTGAATGATTAATGTAGATTATTTCTAATTAGAACTGGTTGCTCTCAGTGTGTTTTCCTGTAAGACGAGAGTACATTTAACAATAGCCCTTCAATGTCTTTCTTAGAATTTTTTTATGGATATAAATACTTTTTTCTTTCCTCAGCAAATTGGTAATTAACCAGATTATCCCAGAAGATGATGCTTTTTATCAGTGCATGGCCGAAAACAGCCAAGGATCTGCTCTGTCTCGAGCCAGACTGACCGTGGTCATGTCGGAAGATAGACCCAGCGCTCCGTACAATGTCCATGCTGAAACCATGTCGAGCTCCGCCATCCTTCTAGCTTGGGAGAGGCCACTGTACAACTCAGACAAAGTCATTGCCTACTCTGTGCACTACATGAAGGCCGAAGGTAGGTGGTGCGGGAGCCTTTTCTCAACACCATTTGCTAGCATGGACATTGCTCAGCTGGTAAAGCGCTTGCCTGGCATGCATGAGGCCCCGACTTTGATCCCCAGAACTACCGAAACCCAATGTGGTGGCTCATGCCTGTGATCCAAACACTTGGGAGGTAGAGTCAGGCAAATCAGAAGTTCAAGGTCATCCTCAACTCATAGCAAATTTGAGGCCGACCTGGGCTATATGAACTTGTGTCTTAGCCAAACCAAAACAAAGTATTTGTCTTCAGAATGAGTAACAGCTTACACAATTGTCGAGAGAATTTTCACCAAGGGAACTATATAACATCAACTCCTGTCTCCTTCTAAGGTCCTGATGGCAAATCAAAGATCTGTTCCACCAGTGAGGTTATTGGGATGACTTAGAGAGTTACCGACAGAAGCATGAATAATCCCCAAAGCAGCCATGCAAAAAAGATGACTCCTCCTCCTCCTCTTCTTCCTCTTCCTCTTCCTCTTCCCTCTTTCCTCTCAGAACCCACATCACGTGTTTCCTATTGACTGTAACTCTAGCTCTTGGGGATCCAACTCTCTCTTCTGGCATCCTTTGGCATGGGCACATATGTAGTGCACATACAAAAATGTAGGCAGTCATATACACAAATACACATACACACTCGTGTACACTTAAGTCTGAAAAAGTTAAATAGCAAATCTCTTATAATTCTTGTTTTAGAATTACTGATGGGGGGGTGTTAAGAATAAAATCCTTTTTATCTTACTCTTAGACAAAATAGTTGCAGAAGCAGAAAGGCTGTTTACAAATCCATTGACGCAGGCTTATACCTGCTGGCTGTATACAGGAGCAGTCTGGCTTTTAAGCAGCGAGCCCTGTGGACCAGCGGGAGCACTGACAGAATGGTGCTGGGCTAACGCTGTCTATGGAGACAGGTGGTTTGCTGTTTGGGTTTTACACTTCGAAGCAGTGTTTTGAAAAGGGATATTTTGAATGTAAATCAAGGGCCCTGGTAGCAAGAAGAATGTTCTGGTACGAGCATGCTGGAGTGTGTTCATTCTCTCCGCTGACTTGGGAAGGTGAAAGGAATGCTGGCTTTGGCAGGGCCCACTCTAGTGCACCATTGTGTGGGCTTCATTAGAGCCCCTGCGTGCAGCCCAGTGTTCTATTCAGGGGCAGAACAAGGCTTTTTAATCTGAACTCAAGGACCTTGCTTAGTAGGTCAGAAATTGTACTATGCGGCTCCTAATTAACCAGCCATTAGCCAGTGTGTTGTGAAACGCCTCTAATCTTGTCTAATTAAAATGCTATGAAGTTAATTCAGAAATGTGGGAAAACTCGGTGCTGGAATGTGCCTTCTGTTTTGTTTATAAATCCAGGGCAGGGAGAAGGGGCCGGTGCTGGGAACGGTTTGATCGAGTTGACAAGCGCTGCCTGTGGACTGTTGTGCGCACGGTGGCTGGCGGCGCTGCGCCTCCCTTCTCTGGGTCTGCGCCGCAGGAATTGAGCCCACACAGACAGAGCCCTTCTGTCCCTCACCTTGCCTATCTTACTAAGAATCCCTGAGAATGTGTTTCCCTTTTTAAAAAACCAGACGCTCACCATGGGACACTCTTCCTTTTCACTTTTAGTGTTAAAAAAAGAAAGACCTGTGTTGACCGACGTAGTACGTTCTCTGTGTTGACCCATATAGTATGTTCTCAGGATAGAGTGAGATTCTTGCAGGCCAGCCTAGCATTGGGTTTGTTTTTGTAAAAGGCAGACTCTGTGCGTTCCCCACCCTCCCTCTGTTTTTGCTCCACAGAAAGCCTGACTTGAAGCCAGGCCATTTGCTTGCTATGGTCCAGTATTCTGTTGTGCTGTGCTCTCCTTCCTCCCTCCTCCCTACAGTCCTCCTGCTTTGACTAGATGGTAAACGACCTTAGAGAAGGTGGATTCTTTTCGGCAAATGTTCCAACCAGTAATCTTTAGACAAAGAACTTGGTTACTTTTAGGCAGTAAAGACCTTTCTGTGTCCTGAAGGGTTTGGTGTGCAGGCTCATAGAAAGTAACAAAGGTAGGTAACCATGAGGGGAAATCGCCAATCTAGATTTATTTTCAATATTTGTCTTTTTTGGTTGGTTGGTTAGTTTGGTTTTTTGAAACAGGGATTTTCTGTGGCTCTGGCTGTGCTGAAACTTACTTTACAGACCAGCCTGTTCTCTTACTCACAGAGATCCGCCTGCCTCTGCCTCCCAAGTGTTGGGACTAAAGGTCTGTGCCACCATGCCTGGCTGAATATTTGTCATTTTAAACATGGCTCCTTTGGTCTAGGTTTAAATAACGAGGAGTATCAGGTGGTCCTTGGGAATGACACAACTCATTACATCATCGATGACTTAGAACCTGCCAGCAACTACACTTTCTACATTGTGGCGTACATGCCAATGGGAGCCAGCCAGATGTCGGACCACGTGACCCAGAACACTCTAGAAGATGGTAAGAAAACACAGCTCCGGGTTATCAAGCGTGAACGTTTGTAGATTTGGTCACTCGCGGTGAGGAAGTCTGTTTGGTTAAATGGAAACGTTAAAGCCACCGGCCAGGTGCTATCTCGTATCTCACCCTTGCTTTTGGTCATAACATGATAAAGGACACTTAAAAAAAAAGATTTTATTTTTCAAAATTGTCTGTAACTTCAGTTCCAGGGGATCTGAAGCCCTCTTCTGACTCTGGGCACTGCATGCGTATAGTACACAAATTTACGCACCGGCAAACATTCATATAATAACGCATTTAAGAAGGTAGTAGATGGTTTTTTTAAAAATGAGATGAGTATTTATAGTCAAAAATCCCCCTCTGAGCAGGCTGGCCAGTGTCTCCTTCCCCGGCAGTTTGCTTCTTTTGTAAAGGGGCCTTCAAGAATCTTCCAAGCTTAGGTTTTCTACACTTGGCACTTGGCAGACCCCGTGAGTCTCATGAGTCTCACTTCAGTTCAGAGGACTATGCCATTCAACATCAGGGCATGCTCAGGCTCACACACAAACACGTAAATAAATATGATAATTAGAAAATAATAAAATTCACGTTCATTTTTAATATGAGACTTTTTTTGTTTTATCGAACTCTACGTTTTTCTCTGCCTTCCCTCCTTCTTTTCCCTTCCCTCCTACCCTCTCCCATGGTCCACATGCTCCTAATTTACTCAGATCTTGTCTTTTTCTACTTCCCATGTAGATTAGATCTATGTCTGTCTCTCTTAGGGTCCTCATTGTTGTCTAGGTTCTCTGGGATCATGAATTGTAGGCTGGTTTTCTTTGCTTTTTGTCTAAAAGCCACTTATGAGTGAGTGCATATGATTATCGTCTTTCTGAGTCTGGGTTATCTCACTCAAAATGATATTTTCTAGATCTATCCATTTGCTGCAAATCTCAAGATGTCATTTTTTTCTGCTGTGTAGTACTCCATTGTGTAAATGTACCACTTTTTCCTTATTCATTCTTCAGTCGAGGGGCATTTAGGTTGTGTCCAGAATCTGGCTATGACAAACAAAGCTGCTATGATCATAGCTGAGCACATGTCCTTGTGGTACGATTGAACATCCTTTGGTATATACCCAAAAGTGGTATTGCTGGGTCTTGAGGAAGGTTGTTTCCTAATTTTCTGAGAAATCGCCACACTGACATCCAAAGGGGCTGTTTGCATTCCCACCAGCAATGCAGGAGTGTTCCCTTTTCCCCACAACCTCTCCAGCATAAGTTGTCATCAGTGGTTTTGATCTTGGCCATTCTGACAGGTGTAAGATGGTATCTCAGAGTTGTTTTGATTTGCATTTCTCTGATAGCTAAGGATGTTGAACATTTCCTTAAGTGTCTTTCAGCCATTTTAGATTCCTCTGTTGAGAGTTTTCTGTTTAGGTTTGTACCCCCATTTTTTTTATTGGATTATTTGTTCTTTTGATGACCAATTTCTTTAGTTCTTTGTATATATTGGAGATCAGCCCTCAGTCTGATGTGGGGTTGGTGAAGATCTTTTCCCATTCTGTAGGCTGCTGTTTTGTCTTGTTGACCATGTCCTTTGCTTTACAGAAGCTTTTCAGTTTCAGGAGGTCCCATTTATTGTTTCTCTCAGTGTCTGTGCTACTGGGGTTGTATTTAGGAAGTGGTCTCCTTTGTGAATGCGTTCAAGTATGCTTCCCACTTTCTCTCCTATGAGGTTCAGTGTGGCTGGCTTTATGCTGAGGTCTTTGATCTATTTAGACTTGAGTTCTGTGCATAGTGATAAATATAGGTCTATTTTCATTCTTTATATGTTGATATACGGTTATGCCAGCACCATTTGTTGAATGTACTTTCTTTTTTCCATTTTATATTTTTTGCTTCTTTGTCAAAAATCAGGTGTTCGTAGGTGTGTGGATTAATATCTGGGTTTTTTATTTGGTTCCATTTTTCCTCCTGTCTGTTTTTATGCTAATGCCAGGCTATTTTCAATACTGTAGCTCTGTAGTAGAGTTTGAAGTCAGGGATTGTGAAGCCTCCAGAAGTTTCTTTATTGTACAGGACTGTTTTGGCTATCCTGGGTATTTGCTTTTCCATATGAGGTTGAGTACTGTTCTTTTGAGGTCTGTGAAGAATTTTGCTGGGATTTTGATGAGCATTGCATTAAATCTGTAGATTGATTTTGGTAAGATTGCCGTGTTTACTATGTTAATTCTACCTACCCAAGAACGTGGGAGATCATTCAATTTTCTGGTGTCCTCTTCAATTTCTTTCTTCAAAGATTTAATGTTCATGTCATACAGGTCTTCTACTTGTTTGGAGTTACTCCGAGATATTTTATGCTATGTGTAGCTATTGTGAAGGGTGATGTTTCTCTTATTTCTTTCTCAGCCCATTTATCATCTGTGTACAGGAGGGCTACTGATTTTTTTTGAGTTAATCTTGTATCCTGCTACATTACTGAAAGTGTTTATGAGACTCTTACCCATCAAAAATTTCTCAGTTGCAATTCTGGCTCCTGGGCTTCCATCCTCTTGCGTGACACACTCTCCCTTGCTTCGAAGGTATTTTGGTAGACTTATGTGTGAATTTGTCTCATATTATATAATTAGCCCATATTCATCTCAGATAACCCTAACAATCACAGCAAACTGACGGCCATACTTAGATGCCCCCCTCATTGTGTTTCCTTTTTTCTGACTGGAAGTCAGCTTCACTGATAACCTCTCCTCCAGCCTGGAGCATCTCCATAGTAACCATGTTATGCGTTGCCATTGAGAGGATCCCATAAATATGACTGTGCTGAGTAGCAGCTTGATTGTAAATCTTTACGAACAATGTATTTTCTCATTTCACCAGTGCCCCTAAGACCTCCCGAAATTAGCTTGACGAGCCGAAGTCCCACCGACATTCTCGTCTCCTGGCTGCCAATCCCTGCCAAGTACCGGCGTGGCCAGGTGGTGCTGTATCGGCTGTCCTTCCGCCTGAGCTCCGAGAGTGCCATCCAAGTTGTGGAACTCCCGGGGACTGTGCACGAGTACCCCCTGGAAGGCCTGAAGCCTGACAGTGTCTATCTGGTCCGGATCACTGCTGCCACCCGCGTAGGGCTGGGAGAGTCATCCGTGTGGACCTCACACAGGACGCCCAAAGCCACGAGTGTAAAAGGTAACACCTCCCAAGGACCTTTCGGGAAGAGAAGTGTTTTACTTTGGAATTAGAATTTTCTACTCTTAGTTACATGTAACATATCTGTATCTTATTTTTTAAACTCTTATTTTCTATTTTGTGTGTATAGGTGTCTTGCCTGCTTGCATATCTGCCCACCACTTGTGTGCAGAGGCCAAAAGAAGGCGTCAAGTCCCTGGGACTGAGTAGCAGGTGGTTGTGAGCTGCCATGTGGATGCTGGAAATTAAACCGAGGTCCTCTGGAAGGACAGCCCGTGCTCTTAGCTGTTGAGTCACCTCTCCTTCCCATTTTTCTTCCATCCCATGTTTTAAGTTTTTGTTTCATGTTTGCAAATATTACACAAATTATGAACGTAATTGAAAAACCTAAACCTTTCCTTGGGACTGGCGCCATAGCTCATTTGGCAGGGTCTTTTCCTAATATGCTCAAAGCTCTGAGTTCAGCACCTAGGATCGCCTTAACCAGGTCTAGAGCTTCAAACCTGCTGTCCCATCATGCCAGCTCTAGAGAGAAGTAGAGGCGAGGGATGGGAAGGTCATCGCTGACTGTGGTTACTGAGTTTGAAGCCAGCGTGGGATAGGAAAACCTATCCGAGAACAGAAAGAGGAGTGGGCTGCCGTGTGGTTAGGAGGGCACTTGTGCGTACGAGGTCCTGGGTTCAAAAATAAACTAAGGCTTTGATTGAACTTTTCCGTTTGTCCATTTGAGGGTAGAGCTGATGAGTCCCAGTCAGACTGCATACCAGAGGGAGTGTAGTAACTGAGCCCTACTGAATGGTGCTGTTTGCTCCTAAGTCGTGAGTTCAAATACAGGTCGAAACGTAGGCTACTCATGTGGAGTCTGACATGACTGGGCTGTTGTCAACTGACTGGAAATACTCTTCAGAAAAAAAAAAATACACAGTTCACTCTTTTTAAAAAAAATTGCATATACAAATATATAGATACTAACTTGTTACTTATGTGTTTTAGTCTTTTAGGTAAGTATATTTTAAGTCCTAGTTCTAAACTAAACATCATTGTGAAATTGGTAAACATCATGTGTGTGTGTGTGCGTGTGTGATGTGAAGTCACATGAGTGGAAAGCAGAGAGCTTGTGGGAGTTGGTCTCTTTTCCCAGTTTGTTGGACCTGGTAATCGAACTCAGTTCATCAGATTTGGCAACAAGCTTCTTTCCCCACTGAGCCATCCTGCTGGGCGTCCCTGTGAAATTTTGAACGTTAGGTCAGCGTGTGATGGTTGAACTCTGTGGCGCTGGCTCGAAGCTGAGAGTTGTGTGCTGCGCTCTGGCTTCCTGTGCACTGGGTGGTTGACACGGCGCTGTCTCTTCTAGCCCCTAAGTCTCCTGAGCTGCATTTGGAACCCCTGAACTGCACTACCATCTCCGTGAGGTGGCTGCGAGACACCGAGGACCCAGCCGCCATTCAGGGCTACAAGCTCTTTTATAAAGAGGAAGGGCAGCAGGAGAACGGACCTATTTTCCTGGACGCTGGTGACCTGCACTATACGCTCAGCGGCTTGGGTAAGTGTGCCTGCATGGTGCGGATCCTTTATCCTCCTGCTGCGACCCATGGGGGAAGGGTTATTGGATAGAAGAGACTGGCTGAATACGAAGAACCCATGTCTCTGTGACCTTACACAGGTCTCCTTTCCTTCCACTCTGGGAGTCTGTTTCTTTTTTGAATGATCACTTTTGATACAGCGAGATCTTGATCCGTTATTATGGGTATCCGATGGAGGTAGAAGAGGATTGTAGGGGCCAGCGAGATGGCACCGTGGGCGCAAACACTTGCTGTGTGAGCCTGGTGACCTGAGCTCAGTCCCTCCATGTCAGTGTGGAAGGGGGAACTGACCCCTGAGAATTACCCTTTGTCCTCCACATGCATGCTGACTTGTGGATGCCTGTGCTCATGTAGTGCATGTCTGTTCACACACACACATAAAACAAAGAATAAAATTGTAGAGTGAAGATTTTGCAAAGTAAGTACGTTTAACTTAGAATTTGCTTGATTGCTATATTGGTATAAAACAATTTAGATAAACAGTGTGTAATAATACCCTTACCTTGGCCCCGCATGGCTGTAAATATTTACTCCATGGTCTCAGACACACTGGAGATAAAACACACACCCCTCGTGTTGGCGTCGTCTGTGTTCTCAGAGACACTGGCTTGTCCTTATTTTATTTTCTTTATAGGGGAAAAAGAACTCCATGATGTAATCATGTTTAACAAATTATGAGGTTGGGGCTGGGGAGATGACTCAGTGGTGGGGAGCTTGCCTAACACACATGAAGGTTTAATCCCCAGGTTTAATCCCCAGCTCTGCAGTGAGAGGGAAAGAGAGGGAAGGAGGGGAACAGGAGCACTGAGACAGAGACAGACACAGCGGGAGACCAAAGAGACCCCCTGGACTGTTGTGGCGTCTAAAGCACACAGTGGGAGTTTATGATCCCCTGTGGCTTTTCCTTTCAGATTGCCCTTTGGAGATGATGTCAGGGGAGAGGCCCTAGTGTGGGGCATCACCATTTCCATCCCTGGGTCAATAGGACACACTGTGAACCTGTCCCCGGATGCAGGAGCACAGAAATCCACCCCATGGTTCCTTGCCATGGTTTTCCAGATGGTGTTTTGCTTGTAATCTTATTATTTGGTTTTTAATTTAATCTGCATTCAGTTAAATAAATTTACTGTCGATCTCTGTCATGAAGCTTATAAATGATGAGCTGTGACATATGGTCCAGGTCGAGCTTCCTCCTTAATCCACTGCTTACGATGATGTTAGCCCAGCCTCTAGGGCCCGAGCCTTCCCTGCTTGTGTCTCCCTGTGGCTTCTCAGTGCCCTCTCATTCCATGAGCACGTGGTTGCTGAGAGGGGACTTGTTGGTTGTATCCAGTAGGAAAACAGGCTGTGAGACAGTTGGTGAAGCGCTGTAGATCAAGGCTGGGGACGGTCCAGTGGTTAGGAGCATATACTACCATTGCAGAGGACCAGAGTCTGGTTCCCTGCATCTGGATGGCAGCGCACACCCACCTGTCACTCCCAGGAGACCATCTGCACTCGCAGGTGGATGCTTCTGCAGACACATGAATCAGAATAACTTTTAGGGGCTGGAGGAATGGCTCAGCGATTAGAGCACTTGCTGCTGTTCCAGCGGACACAAGCATTCACGTGGCAGCTCATAGCCACCTGTAAGTCCAGTCCCAGGGGATCTGACAACCCCCTCTGGCCTCCAAGGACATCAGGTACACACATAAGCGCACATGCAGATACTTATGCAGGCAAAACACTCCTATGTATAAAATGAATACATGTTCAAAAAATATACAAGAAAAAAACTCAGTACTTCAATTTTTCTCACTGTTCAGGAAGGTGAAATATGTAGGAGACACAGAAACATATTCTTCAACATGATTCTTGGAGGCGTGCATTCCCAGCTAGTTTATCTTAAAAAGTCGGATGATTGGTTAGAAAATAAAATAAGCTCTGCTCTTGCAAGAAACTCAGAAATGTTGCCCCGAGACTTTGCCAGCGAGCGGGGTGGTGCACAATTGTAATCCCAGCACTCTGGAGAGGGTGGTGGTGGGGGTGTGGACTTGGAGGTCATCTTCAGCTGTGTATCAAAGTCAAGGGCAGCCTGTCTCAGAAATTAAAACAAACAAAAATCACCAGTAGTCAAAATCTATTCTTTTAATGTCTCGTTAAGATTCATTTTTATTATTATTTTCTACCATGTGTATTTGTGTGGGGTGTGTGCACGGGACTGCAGGTGCCGTCAGAGGCTTGAAGGGAGTGTCTTACCTCCTGGAGGTGGGTAGCAAGAGCTCAGATCCTCTGGAAAAGCAATGTGTGCTCCTAGCTGCAGAGTCACGTCTCCAGCCCCGATTAGTTAACATTTGAAAGTTTTCTGGAGCTGCATGTACATACGTGCCTCTGTGAATGGAGTAAATAAGACACATATATCCAGAAGTGTTCCTTAATTCATTCATTTGGAGAGAGGTAGAGGAAGGGAGATAGGCCCACTGTTTTTTTTTTTTTTTAAACTCTTATGCGTTCCAAATAATAGCTTTCAAAACTATAAACTCTTGTTTCCTCTTACGTTTTAAAAATCAGTTTTATGGGGCTGGGAAAATGGTTTGACGTTAAATCACTTGAGGACCTGAATTTGGATGCCCAGAACCCGTGTAAAGCTGGGCGTGGTGTCACGTGACTGTAATCCTAGTGTGCCTATGAGGACACGGGGAGGAGATGGGAGACAGGAGACTCTCGGAAGCTCAGGGACAGCTAGCCTGGTGTGCCAGGCCGTGGGGGTAGGGGATAGGAAGGTGGGATAATAGATTCTGTCCCAGACAAGGCGGGAGTAGGGAGTACTGACACCCGAGGCTATCCTCTGACCCTCACACATACGCCATGGCGTGTGTGCATCTGCATCCACACACACGGATGTGTGAGTACACAGACACAGGCACGGGTTTAAAATGCTGATCATACATATGTACTGGCTTTGCTGTAACATCTGCCATGTGTGCCATTTGAAGTAGCTCCATCTAAAATCACTTTTGTGTGGGGAAGTGCACGTATTTACTCATGTACTTATGTATGTGTATAAACACACACACACACACACACACACACAACACGTATGGAAGCCGGAGGTTGAAGTCCGTTGTCTCTCTTCCGCTCTCCACCTTACATTTTGGAGACAAGTTCCCCCTCACTGAACGTGGAGCTCACCAGTTGGTTAGATAAACTGAGCAGCAAGCCCCAGGGGCCTCCTGTCTCTGCCTTCCCTGTGCTGGGATTCCATAGGTTGTGTTTTTATGTATGTGCTGTAGGATCTAAACAGAGACCGTCATGCTTGGGAGGCAAGTATGTTTCTCGCCATCTCTCCAGGCCTGTGAAGTCACTTTAAATGTGTCAACTAGAACATTATTTTGGGAGAGCGGACATGCTGTGTCAATTTAAGAAGCTGCATGTTTCCTGACTGTAGAATTAGTCTGAGTGACTGGATTGCTTGAGTTCAAGGTAACAAGGCCTCTGTGGTTGGAGGTGCTTCCTAACCAGGCAGCAGGTTCGGGACCCCTGCATCTGCTAGTAGCTCCCCGAGTGGATGGCAGGGATGCGGCTGTGGGGGCTCAAGTACTGTTCAACTGTAGAGCAGAGACTTTCTTCAAGATGCCTTCTAACCTGAGAGCCCTGATTCTAGTCTGTTTGATTAAGTTCCCATCAAAGCCTGGCTGAGTTTTGGCAGGCAAGTGTTAAGATGTGGGAAGGGCAGGGTGCTCCGTGAAGGGGGACAGCTGACCATCTGGGACCATTTTTAGCCAGAGCATCTGGCAGTGGCTGCCTGTTTAACAGAGAGTGATGTGTCCAGAGGGCAGTAGGTTAAGGGAACCCTGTTTGTGCCTTGCCTGGTGAATGCAGGCTTTCACAGAACCCTTGCTAGGGAAGGATGCTCAGAGTGGAGCCGGCTCTCCTAAGTGGGCTTGGAAATGGATTCACACGCTTCTGCTTACTGATCGAGTGTCAGTTTTGTATAACAAACTGCTTTCTCAGAATTACATTTTCACACCAACCCCCTCTGAGCTCCCCCCTCACTTCATTGCTGCTTTCATTTCTGGTAATTAAGTTTTCTCTTTAGAAAGTATGTTATTAGGGCATGATCTCCCTGGAAATATGCACCATTCTTTGTTCTAGAAGACAGGAAAGTGAATGCATTTATATCTTTAAGCTAATTTAAGTGTTTAAAATTAAAAAAAAATGATGAAAAGCTGCAAGGGGGTCCAGTTTCCGCTTAAAACAGGAAGGACGAAGCCAAATGATATTTAATTGGCTGGCTTGCCCAGTGTTCCTGCACATACCCGGTTAACTAAATTTAATTGGTGTTATTAGTGGGAGGCATTTTACATCATTTTACTCTAATGCTTCAAAGCTGGGGTCCTTTAGATGTGGACTCCTTTGTGGGTTGAAGAAATGTCATGTCTTAAATTCTTATATAATTTCATAGTCAATTATATAATAGTACATATATGTTATAGTAATATAATATGTAAAACATAATGTATAATGACATACTATATGATAGTTTAATATAATATGTAATAGCTTTATATGTACAAGACCTGGTGTCCAGTCCCCAGCATTTAGTAATAAAGTGTGATATGAATTTTCATAGAGCAGAGGAAATATTTGAGTGTTTCTGGTTTGTTCTGGTTTGACTCTGAAATGCAGTTTGCTTTCCTGGGATCTGGCTTGCTTTGTCAGGGGAGACAGAAGGAAGCATCGGACTTGTGACTGGGTCACTTTTGGGACCTGTTCTGAGTGTTGTGCTCACGACCCTTCAGGATTTACTCATAAATGTTTCCTTGCCTCTTTGTGTGTTCATCTGAGTGACAAGATAAATGTTTGCAGCATTTATCACACAATAGACAAAAAATAATAAGACATCTATGTGTCCTGATATAGTAAATTGAAAAAAACATTCCTCTTATTTATTTAAAAAAATAAAATTTACTGTTATTTG